GCATATGCTGTATGCTATATAAGATACTCATATGGGGGTGACCAGTTAGCTCAGTTGGTTAGAGTGTCATGCTGGTAACACCAAGGTTGCTGGTTCCATCCCTACATGGGCCACTGTGAGCTGTGTCCTCTATAAAAGAGTCAACTATGCCATCATAGCATGAAAGCAATGTGTAAGCAATGACCACGGCTGTACCCCAATAAAGTTTAAAAAAAATAAAAATAAAAAAAAGATACTCATAGGCTTTAAACAAACAATTTCTTGACTTATACTCATTTAGCCAGCAAATAAAATAAATTTGAATACTCTGATTCCCAGATCATGCAGGAACATTTTTACATGTAGTTAATTGCATTCAGTTCTGTTTAATGCAACCAGTGTTTATTGAATGCCTAATATATGAAAGATAATAAGAAAAGAATTCATCAGATGCTGCCCCTGACCTCAGGAACTGAAAATGTATTTGAAAAGGCAAAATTTTAATACACCAAACAGTTAAGTAATAGTGCAAAGCCAAATATAATGAGGAACCCAGAGGAGTTGAGCAGACCATAACAGCCATGAGAGTTCAGGGGTAAAAAAGATTCAGTGACGATTGAGTAGAGGGCAAATGTGTGTGGCTACCATCCCACAAATGTATGATTACAGGCATAATCACAAACCAGCTTTTCAGGCCCTGTCCACCTAGGACATTTCTGCAAATCTACTATTCCCTGGTTCCTGGAAGAAGTGTGCAGGCAGTGGGGGAACGAGAATCGGCAGAGCCCTTCAGTATGTGACTGCAGAGATGGTGGCAGTGGCAGATTATCATCTCATTTCTTCTTGTTTGAATTCCATTCATTGGCACACATAAATTGCACATGAAAAACTGGATTATAATCAACAGTAAAACCATGAGTTCATGATTGGAAATACACAAAAAGAGATGCAACATTGACTACTCCCAAGGTTAATGCAGATCGGTTTTCCTTAACAAGTATTTTAAACATGTGTTCTATTCTGAGCTCAGAATGATTTCAGGTCTCTCTTAAAAATATGGAAAAGATGTTTTTAATGTATTTAAATTAGCTGAGAACAAATATTTTTAAAAAATTCTTTTTGAAACCCAAGATCAATGTAGAAGCTTTAACTAAAGATGGATTTTTTTCAGCACAAGAACTGCAACCTGACTTGAATAAACACTCTATTTGATTAACTACGATAGTTAGTGTCAACATTGTTACAATTAAACTAAAACCACATCATGAGCAATATGAATGTCAATAGAAGCAGAAATAATATACACTTCATGTGATATCTTTTTGTCTTCGGTTTTCTCAGCTCTCCTGAAATGCTGGAGTCCAATATTGGGTCTAGGACGTGGAAAGAACTACCAGCAGTGTTTATAATCCCTGTGCAACATGCATAAGATTTTCCTTGCTTTACATCCTTTACAAACTGTAATTTGCATGATGTTAAAAGTATTTTACACTGTGACCTTTAGCATCAAGTCTCGGCTTTAGCAAATGAAAAATTATGCCAGTTTGTAATATCTAGAAATTCAACATGAACATAAGAGCAATGAATCTTGTTTCAAATCACTGAGTAATTATATTACAAACTTCACAGCCTTATCACCTGAAAGAAACAGCATAAGAATAATAAGATCATACAGAAACTCGGTAGCCAAAGAGCCCACTATAAATTGGATTTCATCTATGGTATTCATCTATTTTTAATGTTGTAAATGTTCAGTCCTTTTGTGTTTTAAGGACTACTGTAACAGATCCTGAATGGGTAGGAAAAGAGATTCAGTACTTCGTTAAGCTATCAGTTCTGAAATTAACAACACCCCCATTGTATCCAGGGTGCTGCTCCCACCCTTATTTCTTCATCCATCCATTCAGAGGCTGCAATTCCTCAATGCAATGGGGTATGAAGCAGGGACAACAAACTATTTTATTATAGAAAATACTGTTCTTATAAAACTCAAGGGTACAGCATGGATTTAGAGAACATATATTCACCCATACCATAAAATATTTATTGTGTTTTATTTCTATTTTACACTTAGAATTTTATAGGCTGTAAGACACTCTAAGGTATAAGCCTCCTGGTGTCCAACTAGATATATAAAAAAGGCAGAAGCAGAGAGGTGACATATTAGGACTGTTTTGTCATGCCGCATGTGTCACAAGAGTGCAAGGACTGCTTTAATTACTATTCATATGAATTTCTGATAGATATTATGGCAAAATTGAAATCTTGTTAATTTACTTTGGCAGCTTGACGACGGGCTCATTTACAATCCTTTGAGGAAATTGCAAATTTCCCAAGCTTCGGTTTGGGGTGAAATGGCATTATTCATACAAGAGCACATGGAGGAATTCAGGGCTGAACATTAGTCAGAATATATTTTTAACCCATTGCAAACCTAAGTCATGATTTTTAATGTTTGGAAGGAATACTACAGAGGGGGAAAATATCAGCTATAAGCTTATAAAAATTCAAATATCGTCCAACATTGATATTTATAACTTTTTAATTTAAACAGAACATTAATAAAATTAAGAGTTACTATTTATTAAGCCAGACATTGCTCTAAATCCTTTGATGGGTTGAAGCATTTTAATCCACACAGAAACCCTGTAAGAGTGAACCTATTCTGACCTCCATTCCACAGATGAGGAAAGCAAGGCACTGAAGGGTTAGGTCATTTCTCCAAGTGGACACAGCTAACAAGACAGCATTAGGAATCTGGCTTCCAACCCAGCTCTCGCCCCAGGCCTCATGCTCTGAACCATTGTGTACACTGCCTTCCTATGACCGGCCTTATAATACAAACACATAATTTCTAAATATAAGTCATGTATTGTCAGTTTCTAAACCCTAAATGGGGATACATGCCTGGTTAAGTGATTTTTCTTGATTTCTGGATTTGCTTGAATAAAAACTAGTTTACTTATAGTTTTTAAAACCATAAAACTATATTGTTTAGTCACGATTAATAATTCACCTTAACTTGAAAAGAATGAATTCACGGGCCGGCCGAGTGGCGCGATGGTTAAGAACTCGCTTGGGATACCAGAGGGCCCCGGTTTGGATCCCACATAGGAGGGCCAGTGACACTGCCCTCCACAGCTAAGATGCTGAACAACAGCTCAACCTGGAGCTGGGCTGCCATGAGTC